CATGTACTCTTCTCTCTATTCTTTTAAAAGTACGTGCTTTGCGGCGTACATGTTAACTGGTAAACGCACTTGAAGGTAATGAGAAAAGATGACCTATCAATTTTAGTTTGTTTGAGCGAGTAGTGCGTTCCCCATAACGTCGTCAGTTTTGCTGAGAGCGGTGTTGGCGATCCACCAACTCAAGCACGAACAAACGACACGTCCAGCCTCTTATCCTTCCTTGGGTCTAATTACCCTGTGTTTTATGTTCTGGTTTTTTTTTAAATTGGCGTTTTGTAATTGCAAACCATAATTAGTTATTATTGTCCCTAAACAATTTTTCATGATTATTGTTCAGTTTTTATTATTTTGATCTTCATGTTTTTCGTTTTTCTTCATATCTGTCAAGTGGACAATCATCTTTCATAATTCTGACCCGTAAATTATTTTCATCCTCCTATTATTCTCCAAGTTCCTGATTATTACGGAGCCTCTTTTGATATTTGGAGTCTCGAATTAGTTTGTGATGAAATATTTTCTATCCTTCTATAGGCATATATATATTGACCATACAATTGTAAATATCAATGTACAACTTGAGTAAATGATTTCGTCGAAAATAAAATTTCCTTCACGGAATTCTAATTTCTGTTAGATATAGGGATTAGGATTTTCCTCAAATAAATGTATCGAAAATCCTAAACATTTCACAAAATTTCTGAGACGGATTATCATTTATTCCCAATAATCGGCAATGAATATTAACCAAAGTCATTTTTCTTTACTTTTAATGTTAATCAAATTTTGTTGAGCAGAACTATATAGTTTCCAGCTGGTTAATAATATACAGTTGAAAACCACCTGGTTACTCTAAATAACTTAACTGGTTCACTGTTATGTCACAGTGTATTATCTGTTAAATAAATAATCTATAGGGAGTTGTCGGAGTTTTTTCTTTTGTTTACATTCATCAATAAGGCATCTGTTTAATGTTATGAACAGCTTAAGCAATATTTTGCATTATGAAAAATAAACTTTAAATATTAAATACAAAAGACAGATCATTCTACATCAACATTGAATAGAATTGAAAAAGGCAAAAAGGTAAACAGAAATGATCGACTTATGATAAAGTGATCAGATAAGTGAAATAAATGACAAGCTCAAATACACTAGAGCCTGAAATTATAGTTTATTGATTCCACTTGTCAAGTGCGTCAAACTGAACATCGTAAAGAAAGAAAATTAATGAGTGAATCGAAAAGTTGTGCAGTAGTTATGGGATAACAAGATGTCCAATTTTTAGAGCATGATCAAAGCTAGTTGCTATATACTACTTTAAGGCCACAGATGAAACTAAACGAAAATAATAATTAAATTTTCTGTACCTGTAGTAAAATATATTAGAATGTGGAAATGTCAGAAGTCGTTTTTTTTAATTATCATCGTGGATTATACCATCACTTCAAGGAGATGTATGTCAGTAGTGAGTTGGATTCTGATGATATTGCCCAGAATGACAATCAGTGTTTCCTCAGTGGGCTATTCAATTTAGAGGACTTAATACACTTGAATTACTATACGTTATAGTAAACAATCATAAGTCGGTAATAAAAAAGTTGGTCACAAGGACATAAAACTTTAAAAGTTAGATACATCTCAAATAAGCAATTAAAAGGTATTACATAAATAATCTACATACACATATATTTACAAGACAAAGACAAGTTGACTTTTTTTGCTAGGATACCACTTTTTTTACGAACGTCAATCACTAAATATTAATGCGAAGGAAAATGTTAGTCAGAAGTCAGTTATATTATGTAAATCTCTATAAGATGAACATTTCTATAAAACATAAACAAGACTACATATTTAAAGTAAGCAGCTTATAAAGTGTTCTTTCATAACTCAGTAGAATATTCGTGATAGATTCCTACTTTAAGATGAAAAGAAATCAGGTGAGAAATTTCAATAATTTATACTCATTATGTATAAATGTTGTAGCCCATATTAAAATCTTTCTTCAGTGTTGAATATAAGTATGAATAGGGGTTTGTACATCATTACGATGAGTACTGATAGTATTCACTATTTATATGCATCTATAGCATAATTAATATAAATATGCTCATTATTATTCTCTAGTCACACATTTGTCACAATTATGACGTTGTAGTTTAACGGATATTATTTTACTGTCCAAAGCAACCTATACTAGATATAGGTAATATAATAAAGAATGATCGAAATGGAGTAGATGTTGACAAATGATCTACTTCGTAATATTAGTCATTATTTACTATAAGTACTATTTATGTCTACTAAAAAAATTAAACCTCTCAAGAATATTCAGTCTTCGGCATATGGAGCACTATATTATAATGTATCTAGACTAATATATAAAATAAAACCTTTTTTTATTCTATTTCTTATAAAATTGTAGTTGAGTATTATTGAGGAACTCCATACTTGTATAAAATAGCTTTTATAATCTCCCCATGTTTTCATTAGTACTTTATTAGATATTATACAATAATATAAAGAAATGAAACAATTCCATATAATAAACGGAATACACCCATTAAGACATTTTTCTTAATTTCATATAAATCAATCTATCTGAGTATATGTTTTTATTAATATAATCCTATTCTCATATTAGAATTTATTTCTCATTAAGTAAATAAGCTAGTAACTATTTATTTATTTTTATTTGTTAAGTCATTAAGTAAAATGATTCACATTCTATCTAATATATCTCAGCGGTTTAGTTGGTTAAGCGCCTGGCGCGAGACCGATAGGTCCTGGGTTCGAATCTCGCAAGGCTAGGTCATGGATGCGCGCTGAGGAGTCCTACGATAGGACAAAATGGTCATCCAATGCTTTCTGGTTTTCCATGATGGTCTAGCTTCAAGTAACTCATGATCTCAACTGTTGAAATTACTGCAATCTCCACAAAATCCCTTCTGATACTAATACATCTTTATTTAAAGTTTTATATTATTTATATATTTTTAACAGACATGTGTTATTGGCTTCTTGCTTTTACTCAATTTTTCTTTTTCTTCTTCTTTTTAATCCTTTACGACAACATGACAATGCATATTTAGAATATTTAATGATTGAACAAAAAAAGAAAAAAAGAAAAAGAAAAGATTAATAATTTACTGTCTGTAAAACAAGATAAAATTAGAAGTTGAATTGTAAGATGTATGTTAAATTATGTATTAGTAAGATGAATATAGTTAAATAACAAAAGAAAGTTGATTGATTTCAACTGTAAGGTATTTGAAAATATACATTCGAAAAGTTCGTTTATCTACTATTTTAAATATTTACACATTTAAGTAAAGTAATGTGAACCAAGAAGAAGAATTTTTATATAATATTTTTATGCTTAAATACAAATATCTTATACATTGGTTGAAAAATAAGGATAATTTACAAGATGGTGGTTAGAGGTAGTCAACAGGAAACCCTGAACCTGGGTTTCGTGCTACCTGGCACTTGTCAACAAGGTGTACCTGTAATCTTGAAGGAACTGGGTGCTACCTGACAGATTCGATCCCGTGTCACTCAGCTTTACGTTCAGAGACGTTAACAGTGAGGTATTCGGGCCGCGAGTGACCTCCTGTAGGACTGCGATGTATTGAAAAGTGATTGATCACTGGGTGGTGTCGAGCCACCTAGACTGGTAGCCACATTGCAACTTGGTCGATAGCACTCGATCTTCACGAAGAAGGACTTGACACTAATGACATTGATTACCACTCAGTGATTAATCAATTGTGAAGAATAATTTATCTCACTAATTATATTTAGGTACTGAAAAATTACCATGGTGTTTAAGAACACATAATATTTTTGATGAACAACCGTTTTCGAACACTCCTATATCAGTTTCTACGGTTATAAAATACTATTGTCATTCTTTTATATGTCTGTCATGTGAACGATAAGTTGCTAAGACTAACCAACTCAATGTGCATAAACCAGTTTAGTTGCTCTGGGGTAACTGGATTCATAAGCTGTTCACCATCTTACTCTAGAGCAACTCTTTGTATGGCTCAACGGATGCCGAAATAACTCATTTATGTCATGTGTTCTGTAGCATGTGGTGGATGTAGGACATTTAGCTTGTGATTTATGCCTTAATATAGTTTACAAAATTTAATCAAGGAAATCAAGAGGTGTAAGCTTTAACCCACACTATATTGAGGAAACTTTGGTCATCTACAATTTAAAACTTTAGTTGTGCGTGTAAGGATATTTTTTTAGATAACTTTCATGACCATGTACTTTCTTTGTAATTTTAATTTTTCATTTGGTTACCTCCTTTTCTTGATTTCTAATTCACTCTAATATACTATTGTTATTTCTCTTAGTATTATAAATGTCGTTTATATACACATTCCTTAATTATCATCCAAACATCTTTATTTCAACGTATATCTCATGCTTTATAAACTATACCTTCAATAACTATTTGCTTATTTAAAATTATCATGTAGTTGAATCTCAGATAACAACTAATCAAATTCATCTGGGGGGGTCACGTGAGTTGTCGAATTTTAGAGATGACATCACGGAATCTATAAAGCGTAACAAACTCTACAAGCTCTTTATAGTAATTAATAATCATACGATTACTATTGATTAATTTGGTCAGATTATTCTTGCAGAGATATTATAAAGCAGTGGCTAGGGAAGTATGTTCGTGTTGAATATGAAGCAGTTTCCTATCAATGGAATTACAAGATAGTTGAGTACTACTGTAAATTGATTGAAGTTGAACATGTGAACTTCATAAGCCATCTCAGTGATCTAGAGTTGTAGCACTCACAGTAAAACTTGTATACCTTGTCGAGTTCAATCTTTAGTAAGGTTGTAGATAAGCATTGCTTAGGTGTTTCATACGAGGAAGAGATAGTTGTATGGTGTTTTCTGATCTTCACTGGATATTGAACTGATATCATTCTTTTACGTAAACTATAATCGGATTTTAATAAAGAATTATTCACTGATTAATAAATTATATATATAATATTTACATACTGCTGTACAGCTTTGAAAATAAAATGATCATGAAAGGATTCGTACACTGAGTATGACTATTTTATCAAATAAATTTCTTCGGGTTAATTCTTCTTTTATGAATATTACTTTATTCATCTCTTATGAATGATATGCTAATGGACATATCATAAAATTAAAATAGTAATAATAATAATAATGATAATAGTGATAAAAATCAAAGAAGATGAACGTGAAAGGAAGAAATGTGAAGAATTAACAGAAGAGAAAAGTAGAATCGAATAAGACTCATGTTTGAATATACTCAAAACTTCTGTCCGAAAAAGAAAACAAATAAATTAACAACACAGGTAAATAGAAAGGATATAATTAATAAACACGAAATATACAATGATCACATGATGTGCTTACTACAATATGAGCAAGCCAAGAGACTACAGATTCATATATACAATATATTAATGTATTGTATCTATGTGTCTATATGTATATATATATATCTTACAAACTTATATAGTGTTAATTCTAGGAACAAACTATATAGGTTATAGAGAATTTGAGAGAACAAAATGATTATGGAAGTTTGAGTATCGATAAGCGCATTTAAATGCAATAAGAAGAAAAAGAAAGAATTTTCTAAGTTTATTACTGATTTGCTTTTGCCGTGTGAACAAGAAGAGAAAAGAAAAAGAGACAAAAAAACATAATGATTATATAATGCAATGTTTTATGAACACTGATTAAGTGAAGCAAATATGTTATATCTATATATATAAGTATGCAGATAGCTGGGAATTTTTCTTAAGTGTACATACACAGAATATTTTGTGTTATTCATGTAATCATTGACTATTTCCTTTCATGTCTTTGTTCACTGTCGTTACAGTTGTTTCAGTTTTTTAATGTATAGTGTTGTGAATTCTACGATGCATACACTTTCAAATTAGTGATCGTTAACAATGAATAAGTCAATGAATACAGGAGAAAGTCAATCAATAATTGAGTCACATAAATTTCTTTAGTTTTTACTAATTTATTTGTTTGGTTGTTATGGGGTATTTAAAGCAAATATGTTGAAACATTGGCGCAGTACAATTTAATTCAATAAATGTATAGGAATTTCTTATAAAGTTTAATGATAAGCGGTGAATAGTGATTACACTGGTACATTCAATAAAAATAACCATATCTGAAAAAATATTTTATAAATAGTGACATTGAAACGCCGGGTAATAGTAGGAAAAGAAAATATGAACAGATAAGAAGCGGTGGAAAGAATGTTTAATACATAGAAATGTGAACAGATTGGATAAAAGAACATTCAAAATTTGCATTATACTAATCAAGGCTAAATCTATGCAAGTGATAAATAAGAAAAACAAACAATCCAAAATAGTAAGGTAATATAAACACAATAATTTGTTATCTTTTCAATACTTAATGTTTCTATCTTGGTAAAATTTAAAAAGGAAAATAATGTAAAGTATTCTTTTGTTTTTACTTTTAATCATCTATCTATTAGGTTTTCATATCTGTATTGAAGAATTTACATATAATTTCTTTGATATTTAATGAAAGACGATAATTGAACCATTGAATAGTCGGTGTATTTCTCTTTGGAAATTTCACAGTTCCACTTATTAATGGAAATGATGATGATGAAATATGTAGAGAATAAAATAAAACAAGTTATATTTTCTGTCTTAATTATTTATCGATTAAATGAAACGGATCCACTTTGATATCTAGTAGATCGACCAGTTGATGTATTAAAGTTGTCTATCTGACCTGAATGCCTAAAACCCAGATTTGATTGATTTCTGAATCGTTCCAATTGATAAGTATTCACAGTGTTATGATATGAATTATTTGGAGATCTCGTCTTATTGTATAAATTTATACCTCCACTGTAAACACTAGTGATTCCATTTATAGAACTATTAATATTATTATTCTCATTGTTTGTAATTGATGGTCCAGAAATACTAAATCTGCAACCTGCACCAGTAAAACCAACTCCAACAGTACCTCCAGTACAACCACCTCCCCCTTGACTTGCATTTGAGGTTGCCACACCATATTCTAAAGCATATTTCTGTGATCTTAAACGTGCATTCATGCCACGACATCGACACAAAAGTATTTCTCGAAATGGTAACCGAAAATCTCGGTTGAATATCACGTATATGATTGGATTAATAGTTGAATTTAAATAACCTACAAAAAATTAGTGTAAAAGTAAGATTTAGTTTTGAATTGGGCATTTGAAGTAACAAAGTGTCAGATACAAGTTCTTCTGTATTATTCAATATAGCGATACAGAAATACCCAGAAGATAAGTCAAAAACAGAATGAAATATGCTTCTCCATTTTCACTATTAGCCAATGAACATCTGTTCTCTAAGTTTCAAAATGTCACTCAACTTTAGTTCTCATAATTTATATTGAATATTTCAAAGAATATTTATGTATTAAAAATTGAAATTCTGATTTAGTTTCCTAAAATTTAATTTGGTTCACACAAGCATTATATTTTCAATATGATTATTTGGTTAAGTGATAGACATTAAGACAGTGCTTTTAGTGAATGCATCGACAGTATGAGGAATATTTCATATCGCTTGAGTTTTTGTTTAAAAATAAACTAGAAGAAACTTTCTTAGGAACTTATTTACCAAGATTAGTATATTCTATTTTGTTATTAAGCGAACACAGAAAACGTTAGCGATTTAGATTGGAAATGTATTAACAGTCTATTTGATCGGTGTTAGATATCGTTCGACATGCTTATGATATCAGATTTGGAATCAGACAAAAACCTACATATAGTTACTACATCTTGTTAACTAATTACTTGATTTCATTCATGACCAATATTTCACTATAATCTATTCTAGGCTTTTAAATGAAACAGCATCTGAACTGAAACTTGAGAATATGGCGTACCAAAATAAGGTGAAGTAGGCTTTCAATAATATTTACGTTGTCATGGCTCTCTAACTGACCTTAAATGATCTTTAAATTTATATTTATTTTAATGGTTGAATTTGCGAGTCGATGTAAACCAGACCACCACTGAAAAACTGGAATCACTGGACGACTGTCTCGTCGTCCAGCGGTGTTAATATCTAATTTCAACCGATCCATGATTTTGCGCAAACCTTCATCCATTGTCTGAGGTGGATAACTGACTCCACTCGGGATTGAAGGTCCTGTGTTTGAGTCCTGAGCGTGGGGTTGTGGAGTATCATACTAGGACGAAATGGCTGTCCAATGCTTCCACGTTTTCAATGGTGGTCTACTTTATATCGACTCGTGAATTCAGCTATTAAAACTACTACAAACTCCACAAACCCACATTTGAATTTATTTTTATGGCAAAGAAATACTCTAGACTTAAGATATTTTACCTCAGTAACGTATAAGTAAGTTAGAATACATAGTTCATTTTCTGTTTCGTTCAAGTAATTTCATTTTAAAATGTGACCTATTTTTTTAAAGAAAATACTGAATCAAAAAAATTATTTCCAGTTACATCTGTAAAATTATATTCAATAGAGCACATCTAATTTTATGCGTAAAATAATGGTTGATATATTAACTTTTCATAAATCGTTTAGATATACTTTTTGAAGATTTATGGGCTGTTCATTTGAACTAATTATCACTGGATTTTGAAGTAATCAGACTGATGATTATTAGTATATGTCTATTCATTACACTTAAGCCCCCAAATGCCCTGGTACGGCCGAGGATGAGAAGAGCCCACTCTCCTCGAAATGCTATCAATTAGCCACGTGTATACAGCCACCGCCAGGGAAGTTCTACTCACTGTTGTTTACGAAATAAATAAATAAACATTACACTTAAAATATAAAGGAATGATAAGTTACATTTTAGTCGGATTATTGGTTTCAAATAATTTACGTAATACATAGATATTCAATACTGTTAAAAGTTGTTTAATTTAATGATAGGTTTTTACCACGATTAATACTAGTATTTGGCAGTCGTTTTTTTACTAGTTGAATACACATTGTTTCAGGGTCTTAGAACATAATGGAACAGCTGTTCAACAATAGTTGGTCTTCATTTATTTATTTGTTCAACGTGTCATTTTTCATTATGTGGCTGAATATATAATGTTCATTATTCGCCCAGCTGAATACGTATCCATAACTAGTATGAATAGTTCGTATTATTCGATCGATTAAATACATGTGACTAATGTTTGATTGGTTGTAATGGGAAAATATTTGAAATCTCCATGGTGTAAGTTTGTTTTTTTTTACGTTTCTAAGACAGTTATCATTAATTAATTAAGCTATTTTTTGTAGTTTTCTCTTCTGAGTCGAAATGATGTTCAAGAGAATTTCACATGAGAAACACTTCAAACAACTAGTCTGAGTGCTTAAATATTAGTAAGAAAGAAGTAAGTATTTTGACATAATATAAAAATATTAAAATTATTTACTAACCTAACCATAGGCATATACTTCTAACCACATCTGGAACATCCATATCTTTTCCACTGACCACTTTATGTATTGGAACAACTAGCTGTAATATCAAAATAAAAACAAAAATCGGAAATAATAAATTGTATTAATCCATAGAAGATGAAAAAACTTGATTATAAATTGATAGTGAATTGCTAGTTTAATTAAAAAAAATAGAGAAGCTCTATAGTGTGTAAAAAGATAATACCACTCCCGTTAACAAAATAATTGAACATTAGGCCTCCTGATTGTTGACACTGGTCACCAATGAGTATCCACAATCTTGATGATTTTTGCACAAATTTTATGGTAGTTGAAAACATAGTTCATAGATTTTCCTTTGATACTTAACAAACGTTTTCTACCTCATAAATAATATCACTTCTATATTATGTAATTCGTAATCGAATGTCTGATATGGCTATTAACTGTTATTATTTCTGTCACAACTAGACTGGAATTTATAAAAATTGGGGATTCCAGCAATTTTTGGTTTTGAATTTATAATTTTTTTAGGTATTAATAAGCTTTAGTTAATCTAAAAGTTAGCAGTATTTGTCTATTTGAAGAGACAGAAGATTGTATGTAATACGTAAATAGTTCCAAGTATTCATATACTAATGTGAAGATTTTCTGTAATGAATTTCGTATGAAATGAGTAGAGTAAAAAAATTTTCATCCTAAAATTTTATAGGTTAAACTATATAAGACAATCGTGCCGATACAATATAAAGAGTTACGCTAACTATCAAGTCGATTAGTAGCGTGAGTTGATTATGAGCAGCTATAAATTAAAAGCTTTAAATTTAAGCTTTTAGCTAACCAGAACTCATAGTGCCCTTCTATTCTGGGACTCCCGATGACTCCCCCTCACAATTTCCAGCTATAATGATTTTATTTCAAATGGTTGACCTTAAAGAAATGTTCATTTCAGATAGAGTTTTAGGTTCATCAATAGACAAACGATCTAAGTGTATCGATTACTTTCGAATTTAAAACAGAAATTCTTAAGTGGGATTTTTGATCGTTTGATATTTATTCATAAATAATTTATATTAACAATTTTGATTATAAGTGTATAATTTTTCCATATTTTTGCTGACTAACTACTCTGTCTTTCAGTACTTATTCAGAGGAACATGTTTCGTCAGTAATCCGGTTTTTATGAGCAAATATTGTTGAGATATACTATTCACATTATGATATCAAATTACTGAGGTGATTTTATGTATATGTTAAAAAAAGTTACATACTGTCATTTCATAATTTATAGTTGTGGTCAACTACAGATGTATCTCTGTGAAGACAGTCATATCCTTTGGTAAAATATGTCCTAACATATTCTGTATACATCTAGGTGATTTCAATCAGAAAACCATTTTGTAAAATTATTAATATTATTATTGAAATTGTTTATATTTGTATTCACAAAATGTATCCATAAAAAAGTACAGCATTCAATCAATAATGTCGATATGATAGAGGTGTGTGTGTATTGGAGAGAGGGAGGGATAAGTTTAATATGCAATTTTTGGCTTAGATTTTTATATGAAATAAAATACAATTAATGATTCACGGATGACTGAACAAGCAGAGCTAAAAAGATCTGTACAGTAGATACTCTAAGTCAGGTGCTTGAATTTATCAACAACTCACTGACCGAGATCGGCTACCCCAGTGCTTTGATTAAGAAATACATGTATGACATAATAAAGAAGTCTGAGATTTCGACTGTTCTTAAGAAAGCTTTATACATGAAACTACAATTCAACGGGGGTGTGGTTAGTGATACTCTGAAATATAGGTTAACGAAAGTAATCAGCAGAACATTCTACACAGCCAATCTTGCGTTGACCTTCTCTAGTCGACCAGTGATGTGTTTTCAAACGAAGGATAAGTTACCTGAGCTGGCTTCCTCAATGTACATTTACAAATTCAGCTGCTCCTGTGGAGATAGCTATATCAGGAGAACTACCAGGCAACTTAACCAACGAATCAGTGAACATCTACCAGCTTAGTTTATAAAGGGCCAGATAAAAACAATTCGCAGTTCTATCTTAGCACATCTTATTGATAGCGGTCATGCTGTAGATAAATCGGAAGCATTCCGAGTAATCTATCGCATATCTACATCATTTCCCAACGGAGTTCGTTCCCGCCTCCTACATATAGCTGAAGCCATGGAATTCGTACATATAACCCCACTTTAAGTGTAAAAAAGAAATTCGTGACCCCCCTATCCCTTCCATGGCCAGTTATAACTTAACAAACGATTTCTTTTTTAATTTTTATGATTATTTATCTATTTCATTCTATTTTTTTGTCATGAACCTTAATTTCACATCCATTATTTGTTTGTAATTTTCCGCCTCTTGCTGTTTGTATTCTTCACTATCTAATTATTCACACACTTCTTATTACGTAATGATTTTAATGTTTTGCGATGACTATTCCAAGTCTGTTTACCCACGTTTGACCTTCTATTTCCAACGTTTAACTGTTGATAAGACTTTTGTTATCGTATTTCATTATTCTTACTACTTCACAGATTGAAATCATGAGTCAGTTGAAGCTAGACCACCGTGGATGCGCACTGCTGAGGAGTCTCATACTAGGACGAAACGGCTGTTCAGTGTTTCCAGGTTTTCCATGGTGGTCTAGCTTCAACTGACTCATGATTTCAACCTGTGAAATTTCTAAAAATCTCCACAAAATCCATTCTGATAATATTCTTACTACTATCAGTACACCTGTCTTCCTACTATCAACATGAATTTTACCTATTATATGTGGTGACTTATTCTATTTCATTGTGAATAATGACCCATATTGCCTTGATTGGTTTAACATTTTCGTATAAATATTCATGTATATTAGAGTAAAGCCTGATGACAATCTAATTGAAAACAATATTGTTCACTTATATGTGTTGTTCTAAATTTATATGAAAAAGAAAGCTAACAAATCAATTATATTAGGTTATCATATCAACTATTTAAGTAGTTACATGTATACACAAGTTATTACTATGAAAATTTACTTATTTTCTTTAAGTCATTAAAATAAGTGGTGTGAAACTGTAAAGAGAAAGAAATAAAGAAAAAAATTACTCTAACTATAGAAAATCAATAAAGACATGAAACTATTTTACTGTGTAATACTTTTATATAGGAAAAACATCAATTTTGATTAGTAAATGTAATTTGAACAGATTTCATAGTTTATACTTTAGATTAAGAAGTGACTTTGGTTAGATTATCAATGAAAATCAAAAACGAACTGAACCACTATGTTATATTCATTAGGGATTACCCAACAACGTAAACCTTAGTCCTCATTAAAGATTGGACCAAAGAACTTTAGGTCACTTAATGAGCAAGGTAACTTTAGATTAACCAGTTAGTATTCCATGGTTTACAATGTTTAATTAGATAATGTCAAATCTCTATATTGGTTGTTACTCTTTATCCAGCTAATGGGAGTTCACAACATAAACATCCAGTATCTTATATTTTATTATGACTGTCTATTCAAAATCGAAATCTTTCTTGAAAATATCTACCACATTGTTTTAAATTGAAATAAAAAATGACAATATTAAACAATCATGAAATTGAATGGTTTGACAGTATGAATTGTGATTATTTCAGTATAAAAACATGATTATCAATGACTGAAACCCTAGACAATTAATAAATACTTGAATTAACATTGATCAAAATATACCAATATCCAGTGTTCAACATAGTGAAATGGAAAACCAATACACACTTTTTAAACCTTAAAAAGGAAGTTATTTTATCATGTCAATTGTTATTCAACTTTTATTCATGAAATAATCAGATTAGTTTGCCATTAAAACAGATTTATTGTTACAAATCATTAAAACAGTATTCATTGGAGAAACAAATTATGTTTGCATATAAAATATTGTCGATATTTTTACAGTTCAGCTCATTACAATATCAATAAATTTCAGAAGCCTAGAAACCAAACATCGAATATATATATCGATCAATGGACAGAAAGTCAATATTTAGTAACACTAGTATCAGGGGGCTGAAGCTTATGGCCTGTGTGGCTGTTCATTTTGATGTTAATTAGATCAGACGATGATCACGTCAGTATCACAACTTTAGTAGCTTGGCATCTGACTCGAAGTAGATCGTATTCAAAAATCCATTCTTACATTCGTTTTATTTAATTCCGTTATATTCACTAACACGGATTAAGTCGATAATTATATATGAGAATAGTCAGGATATATATTTCGACAGCAATCATACATACAATCTACTTAGAGTCAGATCCCGGGCCACTAAATGCTAATGAAATGGCTTTCCATTCATTACATGTTTATTAATTTCAAAAAGTGAGAAATTAAGGAGGAACTGTTTAGCTACTAGACGTTTAGTGTAGGCCAGTCAATTTATTAACCCCTTGAATTTTCCAACAATTAGGGATTCGTTGAGAAAAAAGTTCACTAAGTAAGTGACAGAGGAAAGAAAGAATAACCTAAACACTACATAACAAAGCAAACTTAGTTGATGGTTTTTGTGTTAAATGATGAATTTTAAGAGATAGTTATTTTCGATCTTGGGAAGTCAAGATAAATAACACAGTTTGTCATAACCAGTAAAAAATAATGGATGGCATGACTGAAATTGATTGTCATGGAGTTGGTCTCATACTGTAATAGCTAAAAAATATCCAAGAGAAATGAATGATTATGAATTCTGATACAGTAGATATCACAAAGTTTCAATAATCATTAATCATTTATCTATCCTGTGTCGAAACTATTTACCAATGGATTTTAACCATTTTTGTATAGATTACATTCAGGTGTTGTATTGTTGGCAGATGATATTGTTGGTTAATGTCAAAACTGATAAAAAATTAATAGATAAATGTCCAGTAATCAGACAAAGATGAAATACATAGTGATGACGTGGTAAAATTTCCCTAACACTATATGTTTTTGGAAAGAATGATATATACACGTTAGATTGCAGGAGTTTTTATATCAGTATTGGCATTATTATTAGTAGTAATGACATT